TGTCACAGCTGGAGTGCTATGCAGTGATGTAGCGCTGGGCAGTGAGCAAAGCAATTAATGATATTTCTACCTCTCCTACTCTGAGACTTGTGAAGTTGCCAGTTTATTCCCAGACTTGACTTTTTTGCATGCTTAAAAAAGACACAGTTAGCCAACAACAATTTGATTCTTTTCTTTTAATGATTTAGCATGTCCAGATGTGCAGAGATTTACATGCTTCTTCCACCCATGAGGAGCTGTGGGACTATTGCATCTGAGTGTAGTTTCAGGAAGTGATAAGGTTTCTGTTCCAGCAGAAAATTGTACTTGTCTTCTGGAAAGAACATTTCAAGTAATTTGCTGAATGTTACCTATTTAAAATTTTATATGTATCTTGTTCAACTGGATAAAAAATATGTTGTTGCAGAAGGCATGTATTACTTTGGCATAGTGGCAGCTTTTTTAAAAAAGTCTTGACTCTGATGAAGAATAGGAATGTTTTTGTTTTTTTGGCAAAAAGTATATTCTATAAAGATTCAAGCTATGTTGTCTTGACAAAGAGAGAAAACTCAATTTAATTTGTTTTTAAAGAAGGAAATTAGTGTGAGTAGGATGAAATCCTTGTGTTCTTACATATGCTTGGATGATTTTCAGTTTTCTTATGTTTTTAATTGCTTCATGTTTTACAGCACTGGCATTTGGATTTTCAGATTTCTCATGTGAACTAAGCTACTTTTCTGTTCGTCCTCAGATTCTCAGTAAGGAGGGTTTGCTTATGGATAACGTATGGAAACTGAGAGTGGAGAAAATAAAATAAAGTAGTATTTTATAATTTGGATGGTCTAAAAGCAACTGCTGGAACGTGTGTGTTGTTTGTTGACAGGAGTTAATGCTTAGTTATTGCTTTTTGGCATTCTCTTTGTTAAATACAGTTTGGCACTAAATCAGCTTGAATTGCTGATATCTGAATTAATGCTTAAGGGAAGAAAGAAATAGTTAACACAGATTATATTTGGCAACACAGTGTGGTATTGATGCAGAGCATTGGGGATCTTCTTCAGGGTTCTGCTACCACAGAACCAGAGTTCTGTGATTGGTGAGTTTGACAGCACTGTTTCCTAGAAACTTCCTGTTATATGACTGTCCCATTTTGCCTTCTGTTTCTTGCCGGGCTGGATCCTAAAACTTCCTACACTGATTGTCTGTTTCATAACATGTTAATCCAAATGAACCAACTATGAGAGAAAACAGTATGAGAAATACTGAGCATGTTTGACAGTGGTGCACCATCTTCATACCACTTTAGGGTGAAGTGAGTGATTTGGAGTGTAGTCTCAAGGTCTTTCTTGGGACTTTGTCTCTGATTTGTCTGTATTCATAAACTCTTACAAAAGTCGGTTCATGCAGATAAATATGGACTTTATGGTCTTGTTTGTCAGACCCCTGAAAAGGCTTTCTCTCCATATTGACTGTGTTCCTGTCCTTACAACATTTTTCTTCTGAGAGACTCAACATCCTTGTGGGTCTGTGAAGTATTTTCTGGACTATCAGACGTAAGGCTTGACAGAATTTCTCTTCTTCACTAAGCTGTGATGAGACTGGGAAACAGAAGTGAAATCTCAGAGCGTCTCTTCTGATTTTTTAGTCTTCTTGGGAGTTTCAGAACTGTGCTGTAATCTAAATGAGGGCTATTAGAAGTAGATCAGCATTATGTAGAAGAGAAATGGGGAGTGGCAGTTTTGAAATAAAACTGAGGCAGAAGTCATCTGCTGAAGTAGATGGTTAAAACCCCACCAAGGATCTAGTTAAACAGGAGGCTGGATAAAGAGGTTGGCTCTGGATGTTGGCTAAGTTGAGGAGGCAGTCAGGCAGAGAGGGCAGAGGACAGCTGTTGTGAGGACCACTGCAGCTGAGTTGGCAGAGCAGTGAAACTAGGAAGAGTTCAGGACCCCTTTTGTGGTGCTAGTGAAATCAGTAAACTATGTGGAGAAGCAAAAGGCAATTTTTGGTCTTTTAGAGGAAATTAACTGCAGGATGCCAATTCTGGTATCAAAAATGTGGAGTTTTATGTTTAAAGGATTTTGCTGCAATCTGTATTCGACAGTATAAGGACACCTTGTTAGCTACTAGTTTGAAAACAAACCCCTGAAGTTCTATGTGGCTTGTCACTGTGGAAACAGATATGCATGTCTCTATTAAATGAATACCCTCTGTGTTTAAATTTATCCTTTAAAAATCTTTGATATGCTGTGACTGGCTGATGATCTGTTTTGATTGAAATTTGAAATGGAGCAGCATTTTTTTCATCAAAAAATTGCCTGGTGTAGGCTGTTTACATGACTTTTTGGTTTCGCAATAACAGCTTTGTGACAAATTTTTTTTTATTGTTAAAAAACAATTACTTATTGCTATTTCTGAACTATTTAAAAAATGAAACAGATGATGTTTATCACAGTTCAAGTATAAAGGCTCCACAAGTACCACATGTGCTGCAGTGATAACCTTCCTTTTGTTCTGTATAGGACTATTATACCAAATGCAGTCTTTGTGCTGTAGTACAGTGACTGACATCTTGTGTGTTGGGGTTCTTAGTGCTAACCTTTTCAGTTTTGAAAATAAATAGGTTGGAAATATTTTATTTCTTTCAATTGTAATAAATGGGTATTCTTTCTGAGTATCTTCTCTTGATACCTTTGAATTCTGAGAATGCAAAACCATTGCTTCTTACGTGTTGTAAAAATGGAGAATAGCAAAAGTATCCAGTACTGATGTAATTAAATCTGGAAGTGACTCTTAAAATTCTAGATAAATAAAAACAGTGAGTGCCCATTTACTAACTATTTAAAACAATTTGTACATAATTATCAAAAGACAAAAAAATATTCTGTGCAAAATAAGATATCTACAAAGTACCTTATGCTTTGTAGGCTGCTGCTCATGTGATGTGTTAGCCAGATTCAGTCCTCTAATCACTGTCTACCCTTTTCATTGGTGAGAGAGGAAAAGGTGTGGAAGAACCACATGAGAAGCAGAGCCTGAGGCAGCCAGGAGTGCTTCGATTATAGAGGGTGCTGGGGCCACTGTACTTGGTGCTAGTGTTGGATGAGGAGCTGAGAAGAGGCCCCTTGGAAGCAAAAGTGAGAAGAGTAAAAGGACAGGGCAATTCCTTTTCTCTGTCTCCAAAATCTGAGGACCCTCTTTTTCAACAGAAAAGCTTGCCTGTCTTCATTCTCATTCTCTCAGCAATGAGGGAGGTATTAAATGCATCTTGATCCATACACTTTATTCTTTCCTTCATCTTTTGAGATGGTCTTTGTCCAGCTTCTTTGGAGAGCCTTGGTGAGTGAGACAGTCCCTGTTTGGGTCAGTGATCTACAGGGTCTTTCTCCCTTGCATGCCATCTTCTGGTATCTGTTTCCCATGAGGGTGTATGGTGTTATTTGCCTTGCAAGTACAATGTTTTGCTCCAGACAAATGCCCCTGTCTGGAAACTTACCCTGCCAGGAGTGGATGGAGCTGTGTTGCTCTGAGTACTGGGCCAGTGTCCAGTGGGAGAATGGACAGAGCCTGCAGGGATCAACCTCAATGGCATGTGAGATACAGATTTGTCTTCACCCACAAATATGCTCAACTTTCAGTTGAAGCTTGGAGCTGGCATCTTAGTAACAAAAGAAGAACTTACTTTTTTTTAGGTTAAAATTGACATTTAGGGTAGCCATCACTTATTTTACTGTAGCTGTGTGCAGATGGAAATGGGGATTTGAACCCCTCTTGACAATCACTGCAAGCTGACAAATGTGAAATAGAGAACTCAAGCTAATCAAAAAGGTGTCAGTCAAAAATGATCTTGTTTTAAATGAGCACAGATTTTAGCCACATAAATATTTGAGGGTTCTGGGCTGCTACAGGCATTTCTAATCTAAATGAAATGAGGTGTGTGTACAGGTGTCTAATCAGTTTTGATACTGTTCAGAAACCTCTTGTAGATTTATTATGTTGAACCAAGTGACTGCAATATGTTGAGTGTGAGTTAGACTTTGTGTAACCACAGAAAATGCCTTTGCTCTAAATCTTGATTCTCAGGTTAAGATTGAGATTGAAAACTCTCCACTGAACTAATAAACCTGAACAGCTTTTTCATAGGAAATGATCTCAGTGCTTTAATTGTAATTAAGATGACATCTTTAATACCAAAACTTATGCACATGGTAAAGTTACTGATTATTTTTCACTTTTAGTAGGAGTCAGAATTCTAGCTATTTAGATTTATAGCAAGTCTTTTTTTTTTTTTTTTCCTTTTGTGGGGAGGGAGCTTCACATAAAGGCATTCTTCATTCAGATCTTAAGTGATTCTTACACATATGGTATACACAGAGTGAGCTATGTATTGCTGCTCCTTCAACAATACTCCATTTTCCCCATGGATGTTACAGGATTCCTGTCAAAAGCCAATAAATGGATGAATCTGCTTGATGAACTATGTAAAAACTCAGTTGAGTTAAAAACGAATAAGAAAATTAAAGAGAAAATATTTCAAAGTGCTTACTTTTTTTTTTATAGTAGCAATATCTTTAGGCTAATGGAAAACTAGCTGTTTCTTTCCAGTTTCTTTCCAGTTTGAAAAGCTAGTAGTTTGCAAAATCAGTTAAGTAGGTTCCTGCTAGGATGGTAACTTGCACTAGATATGCATGTGGTGCTCTAAGTACAAGAGCTCTTAGCAGAAGAACTGCATCTGCAGTAAGGATAATTCCTGGTCTTCCTTGACTTTCTTCAAAGTTCTTTGAACTTCTGTCTTTGTTTTTTCTTTGATCTTCTTTTACATCAGGTCATCTCCACTCTTCTCTGCCTTTCTTTTCTTCCATTCTACTCTTTGTTTCTCACCCTTCTTTACCCGTTTTTGCCCTTCTTTGTTCTTCTCTGCTCTTCTTCTCTGCTCTTTTCTGCCTTTTTTTTGGAATGTTGGGAGAATTTGGAGTGTGGATTGTTCGTGGTTTTGTGGCCTTATTTTTTTTTTTTTTTTTTTTTAACAAAGACAGAATTCTGGCTTTATTAAAAACAAACAAAAAACTATTAACCTTCTCTGGTGGACTTCTCTTCCAGCTGTTGCTGAACCTGGTGTGCCCCTGGCTCGTTAGGCTGTGCAGCTGAGGCTGCCGCGCTCACCGGAAAGCAGGACATTTATGATTGAGTTCCTGTTATTGACTGGCTCTAGAGAAAAATGCCAAATTACATCAGACAATACAGTAGGTCCACTGTGGGAGACTTTTATGAATGCTGTTGTGATGCTTTTTTAGAATGGGATTTTTTTATTTTAATTTTATTTTTAGGGTTATTTTCTTGACAAATTTTTTTCCATGCTCTTAAGCAAGTTTTGCAAGCAGTTCAGAGAATGACCAGCTTTGTCCAATGTCTAGATTGGCCTGAGTAATGTGGCACAAGAAAAGCACTTGCAAATCTTTTTGCAACTGTATTTTGAATATGTCAGGTCTCACCCTTTTTTATAAGCTGAAGGTGTCTGTGTCAGATGAGTGGTTCTTAGCTTTTTGGGCTTGGTTTTGGTAATACTGGTGCCCTTGTAAAAAGGGTGGTCTGCTGAGTATACTCAAAATGGAGTATAAAAGCAAAGTACACTTGCTGCAGATTTGTGACATTAATTTGCTTGCCACAGTTTGTAAGTATAATTTAAACACTCAAGGATGAGCAAAACCACATTTATATTAACTATAAAGATAAAATCTGTGGCTTTTCAGAAAGTGTTGAGGGCTTCCTTCACTCAAATACTTTCCCATCATGCACAAAGCATTTAATTTGTCTTTGAGCGCTACTTTGCAATCCCTTAGAGCTGGAATTGTTCCTGAGTGAACTAAAATATGGTTCATTGAAAGCTTTTCCATGTGAGAAAAACTTACAGTTGTGGTGAACTAGGAGTCTTGTTATGGGCAACAGTTGTCTCAGTTAATGGACATGCTTTATTCCAAATATAAATGCCAACAGGTTCTTCTGTGCTGTCTGTACCTTACTGTCCCCTTATCCACCCAGGGGTTATTTGGGAGATAAATTGGAATATCTGTTCCTTAAAATTGGAGGGGCCCTTGGTTTTTAAGTCAATTAGTTATTATTGTGGGCTTTCAATGGTATTTCTGTACACTTCAGTCCTTTAGAAAATTATTTAATTTTCAAACCCTACACATTATGAAACATGCTGATGACTAAATATGGGTCAAACATATAGGTTGTGTGTTACCTTTGGTATTACTTCTCTTAACCAAGAGAACGTTACTCTTTTTGATTATATATGTATACACACACACACATACATGGTTTTATTTATTCTTCTTAGCAATATGAATTAATAATCCTTTTCTTGTTTACTGCATGTTAATATTTTCCTGTGGCTGGGGTCAACCTATACTCAGTTAAACTGACTGAAGTACTTAAAGCAGTTTTAAGTCTCCTGGGGGAGAGGAGTAAAGATGGGATTTTCAGCTTTGGGAGCTGGGCTACAAGCAAAAACAACAGAAAGGGAAGCTACCACCCATCAGGCAATTATCAGTAGTTTTAAATGAGATAAGCAGAGACTTCTTTCAGAGCTTACTTCCTTTCTCTGCACCTTTTAAAGGTGTTCAGAGTGGAAACCTTCCTGCCACTAAGTGCAAGATTATCTCTAGTTATGTTTTATAGATTAGAAAGCTTATTTTTCTTCCAGAATTTCTATTTAGAGTTGCTTTCAGCTTTGTAGGAACTGTTATTCAATTTTACAAGTGGAATAAATTCAAGTGAAGTAAATATTCTCTGTGCACCTGCTGAAGAAGCTGCTGTTGTGGAAAGTTTTCAATAAAATCCTAGGTGTCTAGGTAGCAACTTCCTCCAGTTTTTTAGGATTTGTCCTGCTTTAATTTTTGCAAAATTGAATCTGGTAGTACAACTAATTTCAAAGGGCTTTAATTACATGGAAATTACATGTATATACATTTAAATTGTATTAAAATTGCAGCAGACAAAAAACCCCACTGAAAATGTGTCTGCCTTGGCTAAAATGTGAGAAATAGCACATAAATTTTCTATTATTCAGAAATATTTTATTCTTCTTCTTCTAAGAGGTAAGGTATGCATGTTTGAGGGAGAGGAATTAAGGCAGTAAATTATTTGTCTTGTTCTTTGCTGTGCAGGTCAATTAATTTACCTTAACTGGGCACTGCACTCTAATTAGCAGTGTCTTACAGCCAGCTGCATACAAGAATTAAAGGAAAGTAGTTGTTCAAGCAGATTCTTCTTCAAAGCTGGATATTCACACCAGAGCTATTAAGAATATCTTTACAGCCACAGATGAGTACCTTTCCCCTCTTTCCTTTTTTTCTTTTTTTTTTCCTTTCCCTTGGGAGCAGTAATTTCTCACTCCTCAGTAGAGACAAACAGAACTTGGAGATGAGCTAGCCAAGTTTGAAGAGCTCCTGATGGCATTGCTACACTAACTCAAAATGAGTTTTTTAATGGCGGGTGTCTGGTACTCTTAATGATATTTTTGTTCACAGTTTATTTTAATGGTTTCCAAATATACAGCAAAGGGAAGTCAAATTAGGGCTTTGACCACCTGTTCAGCCTTATGGGGGCAGGCTGTAGGTTCAAGTGGTTGGGTAACACTTTCCTCAAATAAGAAGAGAGAGGTTAAGTTGTTTATGAGTATAATTTTTAATTTATAATGACAGTAGGGTAAAGGTTTTAATATAAATATGCATATCTTTAAAAAAAAAGTATACATATATTTTTTTGCTTTTTTGGAAGACTTTTTCTAAGTAAAAATACTTTGATTTTTAGGAACTACCTTAGCTAAGACCATTGACTGAAGTGTTGAAAGTTACATTACCAAGACTGGGAGTGTACAACACCCGAAGTTCATGGGTCAATTTACTAGAGCTATGAAATCAGAAATACAATAGCAGGGCTACTGAATTATTAATAAATTCACTCCCCTGGGGGAAAAAAACAGTTGGATTTCTGATTGTTATTTACAAACCTGAAAATTGGAACCGTTTTCCTAATCTTGTACTATGGCTAAAAGCAGAGAAACTTGCTCTGGAAAATTTGTGAAATGTCCTGGAAAATGTCACCAATGCTAGAAAGCATTCTTAAAAAAGTTAATTAAAACTGATTTTAGGTTTGACTCTCACAGTCAGTAAGAGGCTGGAGCTTCAAGACTTGCAAAGGTATATTTTAATGTGAATAACTATTAGTTTAGAAATTGAAGTATTCTGAAAACTGTTGTGTTGTCTGAAAGGAACACTCATTTAAAAATTAGTCCTTCCAATTCCACTTGAAAGTATTGCTTTTCTTACTAAAGGATTGGTATAAAAGAACAAGGGAATATTGATAAATACAGAGAAAAATATCATTGTGTAAAAGTTGTGATAAGGGACTAATAGTCAATTTGTTTTCCTGGGTTCCTACAATAGGAAAACTTTCACAAGCTTTGATTTGGGTCACAGCCTTTAATGTAGAGATTGGAAAGGGGAATTTGAGGACTTTGTTCCTTCCTTTTATTTGCTTTGATAGTAAGACTTTTAAATACTTTTAGTAAGATAAAATATAAAATGCAATTGAAAAGAGTATTAAAATAGAGAAGGCATGTGATTTGTCAGGTGTATTGTAAAGGCTTGTAAATTACAGCCAGCTAGATACAGAGATTTAATTTAGCCTCATATTTTCTGGAAGTGCTGGCTTTGTGGACCAATTTTGTTTTGTGAGTTGTTAGCAGGTGTTCATAGAAGAACTTGTAGTTAACTTTTAGGTGCAAAATGTATCTTATAAGGGCTCAAGAATATAGCATGGTGGATATTTAGAGTTTGATCAAGCATCAGATGAACAGTCTGTGTTTGTTGCCTCGCCACTATTGACTGTTTATTTTTCCAGCCTTGCCTGGGAATGAAAGTCCTGCTATGCTGGTTACTGTTGTCTAATTGGTTCCTATTATTTTTGCTTGCAATTGATATTATATGAATAGGTCAAGACAGCACAGGTTGTAACTGATGAATTCATTTATTGTAGAAGTTTTGCAGAAATATAAATGGCAAGCTTTTAATTAGACAAAGCAGTGGACAGGATCCTAATGAATTCATATAAATAATACTTAAAAACTGGCTCAAATCTTGTAAGTTGAATTTTTTTTTCTAATTTAAATTTCATGCCATGATTGAGTACTGCTTTGACTAGTTATGTTAGAAATTCTTGAACCTTATTGCATAAGTTGAGCTAGATAAGTGTTGGTTTTATTCCAGTAATATTGAATTCTATTGTTGAAATCATGTCCTGAAAGGAGTTATTGATAGGATTTTGTAAAATACAGTGCCGAAGGATAAAGAGTTTTGAAAAGCAGATTGTAGTTTCACAGTTAGGCTGACTTGTGTGTGTTAAAATGAAAACAAACTCACAAAATGAAATAAACTTCTACACTCTAATGTTTTCGTACTTTTTTTTTTTTGTATGCAAGATTTCTTTTTTTTGTCCCCTCATGTTTCTAAGTAGTTGTGTATTTTTCACTATAATGGGATGATAAATGGAGTGATGCTGCATTATTTGGTTTCTCACATATTTTTTTCATTTTGCTTTATCCCAGAGGTCTGTTTTCAACTTGGAAGCACTTTATACTGAGTTGAGGACATATTGAGTGTACTATTTTCAGTTTTACAGATGTTGAAAGATTCCAGTTAGAATGAAAAATGGTTGGGGGATAGAGGCTACCTTTGGAAATCCTAAAGCATCAGGTGTCCAGCGTTTTTCTTCTATGTTTTAGTCTGTTCTCTTGTATGTGATGAATTATGGAATGACAACTCTGCCTGTCCTTTCCTAGAGGATGAGTCCTTGGAGCATTGTAGCTACTTGTAATAAACAGCATGAATTGCTCTCTCTCACTTCTTTACTTAGGTTATCGTACCACTGTGTGGCATCACCTTGGTTCATGCATCTTTTGTAATAAATTGGACTTTAGAATTCTGTCACAGTTTCAACTTTCTCTTTTACTCCCTCAGTCTGGGAAAAATTAGGCATTGTGAGCATCTTCATTATCTTCCTTAATTTGTTACCCTCCTCCAAGGGGAATGAACTCCCTGCCACAAGCCCCCACAAGATGGGAAATATCTTATGCTCTAAACAGTTACTGACTTGTTTGAAGCTATTTTTTCTTGCTGACTGAGTAGCAATTTCTGTGGTAACAGGTAGTCTAAAGTTAAAACAGTGAAAGTGGTGTTTT